GATAGATCTTTTAACTCGGTTAATCTTAAATAACCCTAATACTAAGGTACTATTTAAACTCTTTTTTATATAGGCTGTATTTGTTTTTTAGATATTTAACCAGCTTATTAACTGATTCTTTTTCTTGTGATAGGCTAAGAATTAGAATATTATTAACATAGATAAGGACTAGGATTTTGCTGTTAGTAAAGACGTATAGCTCCTTATCCGTACAATCAATCCCTGTATTTCTGAGTGCCTGGGACAGCTTATTATACCAGAGAAGTAGAGATTCGCGGAGACTATATAAGGCTTTTTCGAGCTTTGCAATCATAGTTAATATCTCTCCTAGTTATAGGAATCTAAGTTCTATATATCCCTTTAGAAGCTAGAGGTAAACAGGTTAGTTTATTTTAAGGTTACTATATAAGAAAGCGTTACTAACATCAAATTATCTGACGTTAAGATTAAAGCGGGCAGCCGTAGCTATTATAACCCGGAAGGTCTTAGCTGCAAGCGTAGCGGCGTAAGTTTCAAGTCCTCCGTTATCATCTTAAAGGTTACCGTAAACGCAAACGCGGGCCTTACAGCGTTAGAGATAACTATCCTAGTCAAATTTATAAGTAAATACCCACTTTAATAGTAGAGGAGCTCTCTAAGCCTTATCGCGTTCTACTAGTCTCTAGGTGCCTTATTAAAGGAGATTATATAATTCCTTTTTTATAGCCTCTTTAAACTCTGGTCCTATTAGGTGGTCTTTCAGATCTTAATATTGCTTTAGGAGCTGTATAAGATTATTATAATAGAATCAGTAATTTTAAGCTGTCTTAAATATAATAGTAAGAAAAATATTATAAAATATTATAAGGTTTCCCTTAAAATATTATTCCGCTAGAAGCAGGGCAGTAAAAGCGTTATTCTTGTAATCCCTATACTTTTGTGTTAGCTTTAGTATCTGACTACTTTTACGAGTTAGTTAGTCACTATAAAGTTCCTGTGGGCTACGGCGGGTGCGCGTTTCGCCGTAAGCTATAACGGGTTATAGATTACTTGACGGCTGAGTGTCCGGTTACATGCTAAGACTGTCTGATAAGGGTCGCTTCGATGCCTTCCATGCAATCGGTCCACTATATAGCCTTAGTACGTAGCCTTGCAAGCTCTTTTGATCTTCTGTATTGTCGGCGAATAATACATTACTTAAGCCGATAAAAATTTCCGCTAATTTGTTGCTCTTTTAAGTATTTTTTCTAAGTCTTACAGTATATAATCTTATAGAGTAGAGATACTAGATTACTCTATTTACTGCTTTATAGTGTATATTACTTAGATTAAGATTATACCGTGTAAATCAGCTAATTATAAATATAATATCTGGTCTTATTAATATAGCTATAAATAAAATAGATTTAACCTTTTATTAGTAGACTTTAATTAACTTTTTTATTATTTATATCTCTGATTTTAGTAATTCTTTTAGGCTTATAAGTATTACTAGCACTTTATTATCTAGCTAAATAGAGAATTTATATACTATTTTATTAATATATATGTTTTAAGTTAACTAAATTATTCTGCTTTACCTATCTCTTAAAATAT